GCCGGGCCCGCGCGCCGCGCCCCCTCGCCCGCCCGCGAGCCGCACGCGCGGAGGGCGCCCCGGGCAGAGCGCCCCGCACCCGGACCCCCGGCGCCGCCCGCCCGCGCCGGCACTCACGGTTCCATCTCGGCGCCCCTGGCCGGCGCGCCCGGAGCCGCGCAGCAGCCGCGGCAGCCACAGCCGGAGCGACGGCGGCCGCGGGCAGCGGACCGGGAAAACGCGTCAGAGCGCGACGCGCGGTCACGTGCGCGGAAGCGGAGGGCGCGGGGCGCGGCGACCGCGGTGGGCGCTGGCCAGCGCGGGGCACCGGTCCTCCGCACGCCCGTCGCCTCAGTCACGACCGAGGCCAGCCGAAGGGCCGTAAGGGCACGAATCCCGGAGCGGGGCCACCTCTGGGGACCAGGCCGCAGTCTCCAGGGCCCTACACACGTGTCTGCTTCCTCTTTCGTCTCCAACCGCGAGGTCCTTGCATGGAACTTTCACTGGCCAGCGTGTGAGCGCGTCCCGCCAGAAAAGCATCCTATACCCGCTCTGCCTTTGGTAGTTTAGGGGTTTTTAAGCATCCCTCCCAGTCTATTAGACTGCAACACGTATTTTATTACCAATATTTAGCCATAACATCCCATCACCATCCCCTATGATATCACTGTGACTGCTTTTATTTGTCCTCCTCTTCCCAGGACCTGGCACCAGTCTAGCACAGAAAGACACCAGCGCACGAGTATTGAACAGATGACTGAACTGGATTTGCCAGGTGACTAACAATATACCAGCCTATGTTCCAATAGTTTAAGAGAATGGGGAACACTTTCCCAAGGAATCAGAGGGAATGGGTTTCAGGGGACTAGTAAGTATATAATTTGCTGATGGGTGGTTAAGTGGGCCCCTGCCTTCTGGCTAGGGTGAGCAGTTAGTTCTAGAAGGCCTAAGAATTCCCTAGTTCTAGCACTAAAAGTCCTATGTCCTGGAAACCCCCTCAGTCCAGACAAACCAAGACAATTGATCACCTTATTTCTGACCCATGTTTTTCTTAGTTACTGGCCTAAAGTGTCTTTGCTTGGTTCCCTCAAAAGTAGAAACTGAGACAGTAGTGTCCATGTAACTTTGTTGGGAGCAGGGAAACAAGGAGAGAGGATAAAGTTTAGACAGGGACAGAGAAGAGTACGCTTGAGGAAGTGCAAGCTGGTCAGAGCTTTCAACACAGCTGGCTGCTCAACCTTGCAGGAGAGACTCATAGAAACTACGGGGTCAGGAGACAATCTGTTGGCTCTGTCCTGTTACCTGTCTCTCATTGGTCAAAGTCTGATCTACACACCCAGGTGACTTTACCTGTCCCCTGTAAGTGGCTACTGATGGCTAGCAGCATCTGAAGGAACCAGTACAGCCAGTACAGGGCAAATGAGCCTCCCTTGTCAGTCAGCACCCAGGGGCTCCTTTGCCGGGGCTGCAGGGACAGAGGTAGAACCACGGGAAATTTTTCCAGCATAGCTCAGGCAGGAAAGCAAGGGGGGAGGCCCATGGTCCTGTGGGGTGTGGACCCAGGCAGACCAGGGGGATCTGGGGATCCAGCACAAAGAAAGAGAAGGTTTGAAATATTTGTTACAAAGACTGGGGAAATGGATGGCCTGGGAAAGCCTAGCAGTACTCCAGGGCTTCATGAGGCCTCAGCTCACAGTGGTGACTTCCTATCAATGGTGACCTTTCTGAAGCCTGCCTGGTGGCAAGTGCCTCCTGCTGACCAGGCAGCCTGGCATGACAAGGGAGCTTGGGTCCTGAGCAAAGATCAGAGGCCGTGAGACAAAAGGAAGTGAGAATCACTTGAGGAGCTTTAAAAAACCATGATGCCAGGGCTAGGGTTGTGGCTCAGTGGTAAAGTACTTGCCTAGCATGTGTGAGGCCCTGGATTCGAGTCTTAGCACCACATATAAATACAATAAAGGTCCATTTACAACTAAAATAAATATATATATTTTTAAAATGCCCAGTGAAATGAAACCAGATCTGAAGTGCAGTGTAGGCACCAGTGGTTTCCAGAGTTCCCTACAGAATTCCAGTGTACAGCAAGTTTGATGGCTAGTTGGGCACTGGAATCTAGGCTGATTGGCTCCAGCTCCTTCCTGGGGGGCCACATGCATTTTTATTCTTTGGTTCTGTGAATTACCCCTTTAATAATCAATTCCCTCTTTTTGGTTGACACTAATACCTGTAACCATCAGTCTTAAATGCTGCATTACTATCTCTTTATGAAATGACAGTGCTGCTAGGTGTCCCTGATGTGACTCTCAAGATGAGAACTGCTGCAGAGTTCCAATTCCTACTGCACTGAAGGAGGGGCACTCTGCTCTGCAGTGCTCCCCACAGACGCCTGACCCTCCACGAGAAGGTGCTACTCTGGAGGAGCAGTGCCTGCACCCCCTAGGCTGACTTCAAAGGAATCTGTGTTGGACCAGATCCTACACTGGGGGCTGTCTCTACCCAAGAGCCTGAGTGACGTACCAGAGACACTGCCACAGTCACAAAGGATGGAAGAAACAGGGAAACTGGATCACGATTAGAAACATAACCCTCCCCCCTTTCAAATCCTCACAAGACCTTGCTGGACATGCTGCCCTGTCACAAATGCAACTAAGTGTCCTTCCCAGCCACCGAGGTGTATGAAAAGAGTGGAAAGAGCACAGCCGTCCCTGGACACAGATTTCAGTTCTGCTTGGCTCCTTCATTCCCAAGGGGATCATGCCCCACCTTCCCAGGTCCCCAGCCCCATCTTGAATACAGTACACTGGGGGCCGTGTGTGCCTGTGCCTGAGTGCTTCCAGCTGATAATTAGTCCTTGACTCAAGCTATTTCCCACATAAAAACCAGGGCTGCTCAATTAGATTCATAATTTGCCACAAACTGCCAGATTAGGGAAGGCCAAGGTAGACCAATCCCAGGCACAAGAAGGGTCTGTCCCACTGCAGGGCTCAGTGTCACAAAGAAGTCTCTACCTGAGCTTGGACACACAGAACAAGGAGCTCTGTCCTGATCCTCTAGATCCGGCCTAAACTACACAACTCCAGCAAATACAGGGTAGGGAAGGAAGAGAGATGTGGCAGGAAAGCTAGTGTAGAAAGGTTCAGAGCAGACATGGCAGTGTCCTGAGGCTGGGCAAACCTAAGGGGCATGGTGGCCTTCAGAGAGATGCCCACCTGTGGCTATGGCACTTGGAGTGACCCAGGGCCTAAAACAGCAGCTTCCTGAAATCCCGCCTCCTGGTGGCTTTTCCTTTTATATGGCTTTGCTACAGTACTGCCAGGCCAAAACACAAGCCACCCATTAGGAGTCACTTTTCTTCCATTGCTCCTTTAGGTCACATTTATGGCCATTTTTAAGGTTATGGATGCATCGATGATATTTCATTGATATTTCAAGGAATTTCATTCAGGATAGGAGAAGAGGTGTTACAAAACAGTCCTTATGTTTTTTAAAAGCTCTAGGGAGGGAGGGTTCTCCTCCCTTTTTGAGAATAAGAACCCGAGGGCAGTAAGGCCTGCTACACAGGGAGCTGTGTTGAGAGTGGAGGGGCAGACAAGGGTGACTCAATGAAAAGAGCAAGACACTGGGCCAGCTGGAGGGGGGAAACCAAGCCTCCAGCCGGAGAAGTTCAAGACACCTGCCCAGCAGACGGCCAGCCAGCCTGCCTTGGCCCCACTTCCCAGCCTGACCTAACCTGGACTCTGTCCTTGGGTCTTCGCTTTCTCTCCTTGAGGGTAACCAACCGTCCTGATTTTTCTGGAACTAAGGGGTTTCCTGGGACACAGCTTTCAGTGTAAAGCCAGGACGAGGTGGTCACCTGACCTCTGGCTCTTCAGCTCCAGAGCTGCCTGGTTACGTCCCCCAGTAGAGGCTGGGCCACTCTGTTCTTTTGCCCAGAATCTCCGTGCCTGCTGCTCCCCAACACCTACACACAGCACACAGCCCTTCCTCAGCCCACAAGTGATAAACCTCAGACCGTTCAGGTGACAAAGCCAAAATTCCAGACACTCTGCAGGGGAGACAGGGCAGGGGGCAGACACGGGTCACTTCCTTCAGACTCATAGCTCCACTAGTATCTGCTGGCTGGGTTTTAGAGCCAGGGGGATCAGATCACCCTGAGACCCACAGACTGGCCTGAGAAGTGCAGTGGTGGACCCGAACCTGCCCAGTCCTCCCGACTTGTCCATCAAACATCTGGCTGTCACTTTAGGCAGCTGTCAGCAGAGAGGAGCCAAACTCCACAGCCCTGTCAACACCTGGGCTTTTCTCCTCAAGGAGATCCTTCTATGGATTGAATTGTGTCCCCCCCAAGAATGTTGAAGTCCTAACCCCCCAGTGTCTGTGAAATATGGCTGTATTTGGAAACAGGGTCTTTGATGATGAAGACAAAGTCATTAGGGTGGCCCTAATCCAGTGGGAGAGTTGGATGCAGAGCAGACACACACAGAAAAGATGCGTGTCTCTACCATTGAGCTACACCCCCAGCCCTTTTTATTTTATTTTAATATTTGTTTTTAGTTGTAGATAAGCACAATACCTTTTATTTATTTATTTTTATGTCGTGCTGAGGATAGAACCCAGTGCCTCGCACTTGCTAGGCAAGCACTCTACCACTGAGCTACAACCTCAGGCCCCCTTTTTATTTTTTGACACAGGTTCTTGCTAAGTTGCTGAGGCTGGCCTTGAAATTGTGATTCTCCTGTCTCAGCCTCCAGAGTAGCTGGGATTACCAGCATGTGCCACTGCACTTAGTAGACACCTTGATTTCAGACGTACGGCCTTCAGAGCTGTGCGAGAGTAAGTGGCTGTAGTTTCGGCCCTTGTCTGCACACTAATGTGGTGCCCCAGCCCTCGTCTGCACACTGATGTGGAGCCCCAGCCTTCATATTTCTGGGATGAGGAACTGCCTGAAGTTTCAGGTGCCCAGCGCTAGCCTCAAGGCCTGGTCTCTTCTGGAAAATGTTCTTTCAGTTGCCAGACCTAAGTCAGCATTGAAGCCCAGTGAGGACCAGGGCCCAGGAGAACAGATGGGGTGCCTACACCTGCTCTGCTCTCTAGGAAACCAGAGAGAGAAATGGTTTTCTCTCCCAGTCCAGTGCAATATATAGTT